TGTAAAAAAGGCTGCCTCTTTTTGCTCGCTGGCAGGACGCCGGGGGGAGCATACCGCCTCCTGCTGGCTGAAGCCGTTCGGTTCGCCCAGGGCTCTCTGCACGGTCAGGAGAGCTGTCATCAAACTGTCACTCAACTCCAGCCTGGAGGAGAGATACACAACAGGGAAGTGTCATTATTCCATTTCTCCTGCCTTTACTCTCTCTTTATTGTCTGAAAGTCTTACATCTGTGTTTTGACTGTGAATAGTTATAGAAAAGATTCAGATAAATCTGGACTAAAGATATTTTTAGCTGCATCAAAATCTGCCTGTACTTCGGAATACCTGGTTTCCTGTGTGACCGAGGGGTTTGTGTTGGTGTCATCCGCTGCCTGGCTGCTCTGCTGAGGGACGCACATCACCTGCATTTCTGATTGGCTTGTCGCCTGCTGAGGTCCATTGGCATTGCCTGGTGTTTGGCTACTGCTCTCCTGAGGGTCGGAAGCCACGGGCGGTGATTGGTTGGCACTCTGCTGGGGGGAGGGCTCTGTGACGTGCAAAGCAGTGGAGACTGTAGCTGGTGATTGGTCGGTACTGTCCACCTCTGTAGGTGTTAAGGCTGGTGAATGGGTGCTGCCGTGCGCCTCGGCGGCTCCGCAGGCTGGCGATTGGCTGGTCCCGTCCGCCTCAGCGGGCGTCTCCGTTTCAGGCACGTGGTCAGGAAGGTTCTCCTTCCCCGATACTCCTTCTTCTGAAGGTTCAGCTTTCGTTTCGGGGAGTCTCTCGATGGCTTCGTGATATTCACTGGCGTCGCTCTCGTCCTCCGAGCTTTCGCTGCTGCTCTCTTCTGAGGAGGTAGACTCATACCTGCCAGACAAAGATTGCGTAAATCTTCCCATCAGGCCACAGCAAGTGAGTTAGAACTGACTGAAACGATGCATCAGTCCACAACCAACAACTCTGAGCTATTAGTTAAGTTCTCCCCAAGCGAGCTCGATGGGCCGAATGGCCTCCTCTCCTTTGTATAGTTCTTATGTTCTTATGTTCTAACCCCCATGCCACTCCGCCACTCACCCTCCATTGACCCCGATAAACTGGAGGTTCTTCTTGGTGGATGGAGATCCGGGTTCCCCCTCTGCCTTACGCTTCATAATGGACCTCAGGCTGGACTGGGGCGAGGCTAAAAACAGAATGATCAGAAACAACAACCAACATATTATAAAAATCAGCGGTGCTTCTAGCTTGTATGGCGCCTCTGCAAGCCCTCCCTTCAGCTCCCTGACTGCCCCCCGGCAACAAAAATTGTATTTACACCCCCCCCCCCCGCCCCAGCAAGAAAGAAAAGCATTCCGCACTAACTCTCATTTTTATTAAGACATTTGGAACAATTTAATAAAATTTAAAACTGATTTAACCATTTAATACTGTATAAAGGTAGGGGGGGGGGCTATTTGACAGATTCCCCTGCCCCCCCTATCCTTTGCTTCCAGTGAGGCGACCTGCAGTCAGCCCAGCCCTAACCCCCCTCCCCATCTCGTAAATCTGGAGTGGTGGCCTGCCTAGCTCACAAACTAGAATCAGCGTGCAGACAGGGTGCACACGGTGGCATGATACTGATGTGATGTGCAAATGTGTGATAGAAAACTGCACAAATACCACCATTTTATTTGGTAACACTTTACATGAAGAGATACAATTAATGTACTATTATGCTATTACATGTCTATTAGTTCATAATAAATTATTAGTTACAGACTCATGTTTGTTCATCCTTAATGAATTATGACACATCTTTCATCTTAAGTAGCGACTATATTTGTTCATGATTTGTGGGCCTACTTCAGTAGCAACTGAGTTACTACTGAGTTACTAAGTATTTGTGTCCCCTCGAGTAAAGTGTCACCATTTTTTTTGTGCGGACGCTCTTGTGCTGCCCCCAAGAAGACGCGACCCTGGCCAGTTGCCCATGTCGCCCACACCTAAATTCCCCAGTGATTAGATTTACACGAACAGTGGACATGCTGTTTTCTTGGTACGTCTAGTTGCTAATCAGTTAGCAGTTCTGTATGTCATTGATGCAAGTTATGCATTTAGGATTTTAAGTCATCTCACAATGTTAAACTGCAGTTAAAATTTGATGAGTTAGGGTCATTAGTCCTATGACATTTCCCCTCATTTCACTTTCACTTTCACGTTCACGTTCAAAGTCACCTGGTGTCAACGTGTCTTCCTGCGCCTGTGCTGCTCCTGCGCCCATCTGCTGGTGCTGTGATGTCCCCTCCCCTTCCCGCAACCTCTGAGATAGTGGCGGGTTGCAGGTGGTCTCCATGGCAACGGCAGGGCTGGGCACGGGCACGGAGCTGGACACCTCGCTCTTCTGAAGGACCTCTCGCACCTGCCTGGAGCTGACGGCTATAGGGAGCTCTGGGGAAGGTTCTAGAGAAAGAGAGAGAAGGGAAGTAAATTCAATTCGGGATGCTTTAAAACAACAGAAACGAAAAGATTAAGATGTGAGGTTTATACCTACGAACCATTTTTTAACGGAAAATCACAGTCAGGTTTGTGATACAGACTCACACACTCAGTATGTGTCTTACAGTCTCCATCACTGACAAAGTCCTGCTTTTAGACTATAAACGCAGCCCCAATACCTTCAATCTCTCCGTGTCTGTGCTGCCCCTCCAGTGCTGGGTTGGGTCGCACTGCGGAGGAGGTCTCTATTCTCCCAGCTGGAGAATGGGAGTCGCATCCCTGTGCCCGCAACAGTGTGCCCACTCCCACCACTGTGGGCTTCTCCAGGGTGTACACCTGGATTCCCACCGTCCTCTGCTCCCGCTGCAAGGGCTGCTGGGAGAAACTGACCACTGTCTGTAGGTCCTGGCCCGTGACGGCCATCACTGGCCCGCCACCCTGCCAGCCCAGGCTGGTGGCCCTGACAGGGTGCTCTGCACGGGGGGGATGTACCGGGCTCTCCGGCTGCCCCCGGGGAGCCTCCGCCTGCTGCTGTGCTGCCTGCAGCTCCAGCAGGGCCCTGCGAAGCTGCCCTTCCAGCTGCTCCACCTGCCCCTTCAGGGCCTCGGCTCCCAAAGGCAGCCCCAGGTCCTCCTCCCGGACCCCCACGCCCACGTGCCGGGCCCCCCGCTCACGCTCAGGGCCCACGCCCACGGAGCGCACCTCCCTGTGGCTCCCAGGCCGGCCGCCGCCCACTAGCACCGTGTCCTCGATCTCACAGCCGGAGTCCTGACGGGAGCCATCAGGTGTGGTGGGGGAGAGGGCGCCCGATGCCGCTGAGGTCACCGCCTCCTCCTCAGGGATGTCAATGTAGAGCTCGCCCCGTGGCCGGCCCTTGCTGAAGCCCAGGCTGTGACCCAGGAATTTGTGGCTTTTGAGCTGCACACTGAGTTGCCGCTTCTCCTCCTGCAGCACAGAGATCTTCACCTGCAGAACAGGGATGGTCTTCACCTGCTCCTCCAGCTCGCGGATCTTGCGCAGCGCTGCTGCCATCTGCTCGCGCACGTGCTGTAGGTGGGCGGGGCTCGGTGAGATGGGCGTGGACAGCCCCGAGCCCAGTGGGGTGTAGGTTCCGCTGGCAGTGCCGCGGCTGAAGCTGCGGATGCTGGCCAGGGAGCTGGTGGAGCCCGCCACGCTGCCATGCATGCTTCCCAAGCCTGCCAGCCGCTGGCCCTCCCGCTCCTCCTCCAGGCGACGCCGAGCATCCAGCAGGGTCTTCTCCACGCGCGCCGCGCTGAAGTTGAATGCCGTGCCACCCGCCGACGTTCTGGGCGGAGCGTGGTAGCCGGGGGCACAGTAAGAGAAGGAGGAGTGGCGGCTGTCGGCGCTGGCGTTGGAGCAGAGCGACTCTGTGGAGGTCCACCAGGAGCCCGTGTAGCCATAGCCCCGCGGCAGTGAGCCGAAACGGGGCCGGCGCTGAACAGGCAGCCGCTTGAGGGTGTTGCCCTTCTCGATGTCGTTGACGTACTTGAGGAAATCCAGGTCTAGCCGGTAGCCGTAGGGCGTCTCCACCGAGTAGGGCTCCTGCTCCTTACCATGCAGGGTGGGGGGAGGCTGGGGGGGGGCCTTCCCTGAGTGGGGGGGGGAGGGGTGCATCAAGTTAAAACCAGGAGTTTGATGGAGTAACCATGTTAAAGTCTGTAGCTCGGATTCATGTAAATACACAAACAAAATACACAAAAGCAGCCTGGCCTGGCTGAGTACCTGGGAAGCTGGAGTCCATTTGGAGAACCTGGGTCATGTCTGATCTGGGGCCTCCAACACACCCTCACCTGTAGAATTGCACCTGTAGGGGGCGAGAGTGGATCGTCAGATGTAAACACCCTGCAGGAACACGGGCATCACACACACGTCTAAAACGTTACTCCCCTAAGGCAAGAAAACTGGTGCAGAGAGCCCTGGTGAGCATACAGGCAGTGACCTATAGGGGGCAGTATAACCCAAGGCAAATATACAAACATGGGATTCAGAGTGAGTACGGGGCGAAAGATGCTTCCTCCTCTTGGCCGGATTTGCATTGTGCGCCACCGCATGCTCGCCGCGTTCCTGTCTCTCGCCATTCCAGCATTCCTGTGCATTCTGGTGCTTTCCAAAGTCAAAGCAGGACTCGCACAGATTTTGCTGGATTAACCACAAACGAGGATACAGTGTAACCACTGGATTCATGAGCATATACTACTCCAGATCACCCCAATGTCATGCTACTGTCTTTAGGGCCGCTGTTGTACATGGCTGTGTTGGTGTTGCTTGGCTTGGAGGTCCAGTATCACATATCCTGGCAGGTCCCCCCCCCCCCCCAGTAATGCTGCAGGTTGCTTCATGCCACTGGGTCTCTCTTCGTCATGGCGTGTGTTTCTGCCAGCAGATCCCAGAGATGTTGCTCAAGGCTGTAATTCACCACCTTATTTGGAATCATTTCTGAAGCCTCTGGAAGCTACTTCATGCAGAGCTACACACTTTTAAAAAAAAATTCTCTCTCTCTCTCGCTCTCTCAATCGCTCTTCATCAGATGATGGTCAGGAGGTTTCATCTGACTAAAGCCTTGCACAAAGGCGCGCACACTCACACGCACAGATACATCCCAAAAACATCAGTCAGCCTTTGATTACAGGACATCTGCTTTCCAGGGTCAACACAGCACAAGCGAGTGTCCTAGGATACCAGCATCAACACTGTCCAGTGTAACAGTCTCCCAGGATACCAGCATCAACAAAATAATGTGTGACCTGCTCCCTGGATCAATTACGCATATCATAACCATTCCCCCTCATCAACACTTAACAGAGTAACTATCTCCCCCAGGTCCACACCACACGATGTATCCATTTCCCAGGTTTAACGACACTCTGAATAGCAGACACCCACGTGTAAATCTCAGGACTGCAGAGCTAAAGGATACAAACATGTCATACATGGGCCATGAGCTGCATTTTATAATTCATTCATTTATTTATTTTTTTAAAAAGGATGGCTTCACTCCCATGGTAAACATAATCAAAAGAAGACACGTGTGTATATCCGCCATCAGGATGCAGGCTATTTTTAAAATTGCGTAAAGATCCCCGACAGACTCGGCTGATCGTTTGCTAAATTCCGGATGCGGTGGCCGATTATGGGTCATTATGGGGCTATTACGCTGCAAGGGAGGAGTCAGCTGACCACTGCAGCTGCTTGCATGTTGGCATACACAGACAGACACCCCCAGACACACACACAGACACATATACAGTACAAACACATTCGCAAACACACATGAACAGGCCAGATGCACGCACACACAAACATACGTTGTTTTTATATCTTTGTGGGGACTCTCCATTCATTTCTGTGGGAATGACCCTAATGCCAAACAAGGACAACCTTAACCCTTACCAGCACTTACACCAGCCACAAGTAGCCAAACAAAATACAAGGCTTTTGGCAGTTTTAGTTTTTTGATTCCATTCACTGATTTTTATTAACATGATTTTCCCCTTGTGGGGACTGAAAAAACGGTCCCCACAACATCAAAACAACAGGTGGGGACCGTTTGTGGGGACATTTGATCCTTGCAACGTAATATATGCATGATCACATGCATAGGCCACAAAAACGCACACACATTACAGACACACATAAACAGACCAGACTTTTCCAATGTGCTCCAAATTACTTTACTTCCACTCATGTAAATGACTCGGATGTTCTGTCATTACAGCACAAACTCCCCCCGGACGCCGAATTCAGAGCAAACCGCCCATCCGTTACGTTTCAAACTCTTCCTTAACTTTCATAAAAATCACTGTGAACCAGAGGAATGTCCGAAGCTCAGGGACACCGTAATCCTGTAACGTCCCGCCTGACACGCCCATCGCCAGCCAAACCAAATCGCCAGGCTAAATACACACACATACACAGACCTGGAATCATATCTTTGTGGGGATTGCTCATTCATTTCAATGGGAAAAATGCTAATGCTAACTGACAACCGTAACCCCCACCCAGTCCTAACCCTAACCCTAACCCTAACCCTAACCATAAGCATAACCATGACCAAACAAGCAAAATACAAGAGTTTTTGTATTTTTAGTTTTTGATTTTTAGAAAACCACGTGTGTTAACCCGTGTCCCGCTTCCGGAATTTTCCATGAGACCCCAGTGTACCAGCCGCATGGGTCAGATCCCAAACACGTTGCTTGCTCTTTTTGGGTCGCTTGCTTTTGGAAAGTGAGGGAGGGACCCAATCAGACTCATGATTCCTGCTGAGATGTTATAATGGTGTGGCTGACCTCCTGTGAGCATCTGCTCCCTCCTGTGAGCATCTGCTCCCTCCTGTGACCCCCAGCAGTGGTCAGACACGGCCAGGACAGCTCTGAGGTTCTCTACCGTGTGTCTTGTCCAGAATGCGCGGTGAAAGCTGAGAGTCTGCCTGCTGCTTCCCTCCATTTGTCTTCTCCCGCGCTGGCTGGTTCATGGCTGTTCTGTTCTTCATCTGTGCCCCCCTGCCTCTCGCCCCGTCGTGGGTTTGGAGCAGAGCCCCCCTGGTGTTTATGCCCCCTTCCTCTCCCGGCCCTCCCCCCTCCAATCTCATGACCCTAGTAAGACTGAGGTTTGCCTGTTCCAGCTCCTGCCTGTTTTGGGGGGGGGGGGGGGGGGGGCTCGGAAACACTGACTGAATTATCTCGGTATTTTATGAGCCCTTAGCAGCCAATCGGCTAAGCTGTATGAGGCTCGCTCTCTTCCTCTCTCTTTCACACAGAAGAGGGTCACTCTGCCCTGCATCCCTGCACGTACCCAAATACGTATGCGTTCCCATCCCAAATGCATGGTCCGCACAAATGTGGCTGGGGCACTTTTAGCCAGAAGCACATGCGTCTCTCAGGGCCGGGGGTGACGAGGACGACTCGGGACAGGCGATGGGATATAATTAGAGCCTGCATCACGCCCACAGAGTGTGACAAAGTCCCGGCCCTTTGTGGGGACGGGGGCTGCCCTCACCAGGGCCTGCACACTTTCTCCACACCACTCCACCTCTCTGCGTCATCTCTTTTGCTCTCTTCACATCCCTCCATCTCTCACTCCTTCCACATCACTCTATCTCTCGCACTATGTCTCCATCACTCCATCTCACTTCTCCGCTCTCCCTGGTGAACACACTCCCCTTTGTCCACGTCGGCTCTCCTGCCTGGCCTCCTCCTCCATCTCATCCTTTGTAAGCACTCCCTCGCTCCATCTCTCTGCTGCAGTGGGGCGGCATTGGGCTGACAGTGAACAGAGACCCCCAGTTTCATGAGACAGGCGTTGGTGGTGGTAGTGGGGGGGGGGGTCACTGTGTGGGTGGCAGGGAGGGGGCTCTGTGGAGTCGCTCCCCTCTCCCCGGCCTGGCTAATCTCGGCTCTCCGGCTGAAGGAATGCACTGACCCGGGTCTCGCCGGTGCTCCCCCAGCCCACCTCCTCTGCTTGCATTCCACGACGGCCAAAGGGAGCCAATTCCCAGCCTCCCCACCTCAGCAGAACAAACCCCTGACCTCCGGCCCATTAACATTAACACAGAATATGTGAAAAATGATTCTGAACTTGGGATCATCCCTGGGATAAATCCCCCCCCCACTCTACCCCACCCAGACATGCACTCTCCTGTTAAACTCAGAGGCACCATATCTCTCTGCTGGTTTACCATGGTACAACCAGACATTGTGTGTTTTGGTAAAAGCCAGAGGGGTGTGTGTGCATCAGGAACACCAGGGTATACGTGTTTCAAATATTTCCCATCACAAGTAGTTAAGCACCCTCCTTCATTCAAAAAACAAAAATGTTAATTATATTTAATACTAATTATATGAATGCTTTTGAGATAACATCAGTTTCCTGAAATATAGAGAACTTGTTTGCTTGGTGAACTCGTGTGCGTGTGCGTGTGTGTGTGTGCGTGTGCACTCGCATGTCTGTGTCTGTCCGTGTGTGTTTGCACCTTCCCGTCTGTGTGGTTCCGCTCGTCAGGATCTCTCCCGATTGCATATTATGACAGCTGGACAGCACAGGTGGTACCGTCAGGTCCAGAAATGGACGCAGGGGCTTTTTTTAAGGGAACAATGGTTTGAGTAAAAAGCCACAGGAATCAGGGTGTTGACTGGAAAAGCAGGCCGGGTTATGAGGGGGGGTGGGCCGGAGTGCGCAGTGGAAGGATGTCGGAGCGTTACAAAATCTGCTGACCTATTCCGCTGCTCGGTATGTTAGTGCCGGCGAGTTTTTAACATGCTGATCGGCTCAGGTTAAGATTAAGAAATAAACAATATCCCTTGGGCTGGCTACAGGAAATGCTTTTACGAATCCACTGGTACAGGAAGTGGCTGTCGAGAGAACCTTCGCAACTGATAGCACTAGCAAATTTACATTTACTCATCTACATGACACTTTTATCCAAAACAACTTACAATAGAGGGAAGGATTACAGCAATCCTAGGATTTGAACCCACGACCTGGTTGTTGTTAACACAATGCACTACTTGTTAGCTACGGAAGCCAAAACGTACGCAGAATTTAGTACCACAGAGTGCTGAAGCATATGGTACAAGCGAGAGCTATCACAGCCACCGAAAGGAAAGATCCAGAATGACTGAAGTGACTTGCATTAAGCAACACTGGCCATAGGTGCACCTTGAGATGTTCGCAGATGTTTCGGCGCCCAAGGCACAGAAGGCTGCATTTTCTTCCAGCTGAGCTCATGCTCTGACTCATGTAGTTCGCAGTTTTCGCCAGATATCTCTGAAAATGAATCGGTCCGGCTTGCTTTTCAGGGCTTACATT